CCGGCCCTGGCCCCGGGGCTCCCAGCAGCCTCTGCAGCTGGTAGCTCTGGGAGTGATTCAAAGGCCCCGAGGCTCCCAGCCGCAGCCGGAGCCCTGGGGCCTTTAAATCTTGATTTTAAAGGCTCCGCCTCTTCCGGTTGAGGCCACACCCCTGCTCAGGACTCCGGCGTACCAGTAAGTCCTTTATCTTACTTTCACCGCTGGGTGCAGCATTTCCTGAGCGGTGCAGTGATTACTCCATTCTACTGTTTTGCCCCCCAGCGCAACCACTCAAGGCAAGGGAATGGGGAGCTGTACTGCCAGGCATGTGGCTAATGCAGAGGTTTTGCTAGTAATGAGTGTTAAATGCCCGGGGTGCAGGGTGGCAGGAACAGCTCCTCACCTTGTGTGATCCTGGACAAGTCACTTCCCCTCTACACCCTTCTGATTCCCTTCCTACCTTTTGTCTGTCAGGTTTTGTCTATTTAGGCAGGAAGCTCTTCAGGGCAGGGCTTGTATCTTCCTATATTTATGTACAGTGCCTAGTACAAGGGGGCTCCGATCTCAGTTGGGGCCTCTAGTTGCTACATCATACAAATGATGATGATAACACCAGGGAGAGGAAACCACCTGTAGGTCTGAAATTCCTGTAGTGCAGAGCAAATGATACGAGGGCATCTATATGTGATTTGAGAATAAAATGCGCATCTGTATTTATATTAAAAGAGAGATGAGCCCAAATCAACCCCCATGTTCCAGTCTTGGGGAAGTTCCCAGCCTATTTCTAATGAAAAGTCCTTGTATTCTTTTTATGCAGGACATATCTACATTACAAAATTAATTCGACTTAAGGTAGGTCGACCTACAGCCACCGCAGTAATTGAATCTGCTCTTCGTGTCCACACTATGCTCCTTCTGTTGGCAGGATGCATCCTCACCAGGTGCATTTACACAGACTGAAGTGGGGCATTATGGGGCACTGAGAGCTGGAGCCCCACCCCTTGGGGACGGAGAGTCAGAACCCCACTGCCTCCAACGTGCTAATCAGCAGAGCTAAGCCAGCGTGGAGGAGTTTTTTGACCAAGAGCAAAGCAGATTAACTTCACCCCTGAAGCAAAGGCGGTAACAGGGAAGGAATTATAAGCGAGTCATAATTCGGTGGTTGGTCTGCTCCTGGGATGGCATACTTTACTCAGGGCAAATTGTAAGGGTAACCTCTGGCTACCATACCCATTTACTCTCACTTATTTAACAGCTCCATTCTGGTTTCACCTTCCTTTTTCGCTACTCTCTGTCAGTAAGCCTGTTCAAATAGAGGTAAACAAGGTTTAATTCTTCTCCGTCAGTCTTCACGCACTTGTCTAGGCTAAGAAACAAACCAGCTTGGACAAAGCATGGCTCTTTCTGACTGGTGTGGGAAAGGACTGTCCCACTGTTGCAGACTAAGCCAAGCAAGTTCAACACCTGCCATAAGCCAGCCCGGCTAATCGCAAACTCTAGCAGGGGTCAGTCATGCTTTAGGTTTGTCTACATCAGCATGACAACCATTTTCAAGGCTGGTTGAAGTGGATGATGAGGGCCAGAGAGCAGTGACTGCTATCCGCTGTCACATTCACAAGCCACATTTAACTGACCAGTCTCTAGCTAAGATAGAGTGCTGCTGCCTCAGAGATATTTTAGTTCTTGTATTTGTAAATAGAGTTTTGCAGTGAAGGCCTAATTTGTTAGAACAGCTCAGTTGTCACTTAGGCATCTAAATTAAATGGCCAGATTTTTCACGAGTGCTCAGCACCCAACAGATCCCATTACTCTCAGTGGGAGCAATTGGGTGCTGAGCTCTTCAGAAAATCTGGCCCAAAAATGATCTCTCCCGACTAATCTCCAGCCTATTGGAATTTAGGGTGGGAGTTGCTATACTAGGTCAGACTAGTAGTCCTCATAGTCCAGTATCTTGTCTCTAGCAATGCTTAAGACCCGAGGCTCCAGCAGAACTTGAAACCCCTGTAATATACCTAGCTCAGGGGCGGGCAAACTTTTTGGCCTAGGGCCACATCCGATTTCCAAAATTATATGGAGGGCCAGTTAGGGGAGGCTGGGCCTCCCCAAACAGCCAGGCATGGCCCGGTCCCGCCCCCTATCCAACCCCTCCTGCTTCTCGCCCCCTGACGGCCCCCCCAGGACTCTTGCCCCATCCATCCCCCCTGTCCCCTGATGGGGGGGGGCCCTCCCAGGACTCCTGTCCCATCCAAGCCCCCCCGCTCCCTGTCCCCTGACAGCCCCCGGACCATCCACCACCCCATCCAACCTTCCCTCTTTCCTGACTGAACCCCCACCCCTGCCCCCATTCAACACCCCGTTCCCTGCCCTCTGACCATCCCAACCCCTATCCACCCACTGTGACGTTGTGC